TCCCAACCAAAGAATCCTCCAAAAGTCAAGACCTTTGGCCAGTTTTCCCTGTTTGTTTATAGAGGGATGTTAGGTGAAGCACATGCCTTCACTAGATAGATTGGGACCTTGGATCAATACAAGGGGGGAGAAGACTTGGAAAATTTGTAAATAGACTTGTAAAGTTACAACATCAGTTTCTTTGGTGCAACTGTTCATGCAATAGGCTTGCTATCTGATGTTTGTTGACCGGTTGAGTTGAAACAGTGTAACTAAGCTTGATAGTAGAAGTTATCTAATTGGCATCTCAATTCTTCATGGGGATGTATCACGCTTTGTGCAGATGCTTGGTAGTGACCTATACACCTTTGGATTTGTAATGTGTTCTGGTCCCTGAAACCTTTTCGAGAGTAAATTTTGTCGAAATAAATAAATACTTGCTGGCCTGTGCAAAATGTTATAGTTGGAAAGTAACACTCAGAGGAAGTGAGATTTTTTATTTATCATTGACCATTTACTCAGTGATCTTGCATTCCAGTTCTCTTTATGAATTAAAATACGTCTGTAATCATTACCAAGAACATACATCTTTAGTATTATGAAACTGAAATGTATAGAGCATTGCAATTTCAAACTGTGTAATCTGTTATAATAGTTTTTTTTTACTGGTTGCCATGTCTCTAGTTTCTCATTGCAATGCTTCAAAGTACATGTCTGGTCGTTGTGGGGGAACAACTAGAGTTGCTGTTCTTATCGGAGGTAAATTTTCTACTCTTTTTATTTTTTCAAAATTTATCATATGCGCAGCTATGCTAGCTTATTTTCCTTTTCAATTTGTTGTTTCCGACGAAATACTTGGATATATCTGCTATAAAGTTATCTTATTCTTTGCAGTCTTGTGAAAAATTGTCATCATCAATATGTGTGTTTACTGCTTTTAGTTGCAGCTATGGACATGGTGGTTTTTACACATGTAATCCATATGAGTTGATTAGTTGTCCTGTGGTTTCCTTTCTTTGAATTCCTAAAGTAGATGCCCTTCAAAATGAATGCACGTGGTAGTTTTAAGTTGCTGATGCAATGGTGCTGCGCATTTCATCAAGAAAATAAAAGTAAAAGATTGTGCAGCACACGTTTCTTCATGCTTCCGATCTCTGTTGTCTATGTCCGGCTGTAAAGTTTTACTTGCACGCACCTTCCTTTGTCCTTTATTTGATATTTGTAGAATAATCAACAGGTTTGTTGGGTGTTTTCAACAAAAATCTTCAAAGAATTGGTTATGGTTTAGCTCAACTGTAGAATAACAAATTTTTGCATGCCTTTTTATTTTTTCTGGATAAGCTTAATTCTGACATGATATTTCTTAAAGACATCAGAGGATCAAATGATAAACATACTGGTGATACAATTTGGCTCTGTCCTAGTAGCCTTAGCTGAGATATTGAACATTACTCAATTAAATTTCATATCTTTGGTTATACTGTGTTTTTTTTTCTGAATATAAACATTATATTTGGTTATATGTGGGACCTTTTATATAGCATCATGTGTGGCATTGCTTTTTTCTTAGGGTTTGTTGCTGGAGCTTTCTTAATGGCCGGTCTATTTCTTCTCTGTTACTTTGTTCGACGCCGTTCCACTTGCTTGAGAAACCAGATGAGTGCAAGGCGCCTTCTAAGTGAAGCTGCAGGCAACTCTAGTGTTCCATTATATCCCTATAAAGAAATAGAAAGAGCCACTAATTGCTTTGCTGAGAAACAAAGGCTGGGCACAGGGGCTTTTGGTATAGTTTATGCAGGAAAACTCCACAATGATGAGTGGGTTGCCATAAAAAAGATTAACCGGCGAGACACCAACAGCATTGATCAAGTCATGAATGAGATCAAGCTCCTTTCCTCTGTGAGCCACCCGAATCTAGTACGCCTCTTAGGTTGCTGCATAGAGGGAGGTGAACAGATCCTTGTCTATGAATTTATGCCTAACGGAACTCTGTCTGAACATCTGCAAAGAGAGAGGGGCCAAGGACTTCCATGGACCATAAGGCTCACGATCGCTGCCGAAACTGCTAATGCTATAGCCTATCTCCATTCTGCAATGAATCCACCAATCTATCATAGAGACATCAAATCCAGCAATATACTCCTGGACTACAACTACAAATCAAAGGTAGCAGATTTTGGTCTTTCTAGACTTGGGATGACAGAATCATCATACATATCAACGGCACCACAAGGGACTCCGGGCTATGTAGATCCTCAATACCATCAAAACTTCCACCTTTCTGATAAAAGTGATGTTTACAGTTTTGGGGTAGTGTTAGTAGAGATAATAACCGCGATGAAGGTGGTTGATTTCGCTCGACCTCAAAGTGAGGTTAATTTGGCTGCACTTGCTATTGATAGGATTGGGAAGGGATGCGTGGATGAGATAGTGGATCCCTTTCTTGATCAAAACAGGGATGCTTGGACTCTCTACTCAGTTAACAAGGTGGCTGAGCTTGCATTTAGATGCCTTGCTTTTCACAGTGACATGAGGCCTTCTATGATAGAAGTGGCAGAAGAACTAGAGTACGTCCGGCGCAGTGGGTGGGCAACAATGGAGGAAAATATATGCATGGAATCATCTGCGGCATCCACTTGTTCATCGCCATATAACGGAAGCGAGAAGTCATTAGGAGGTGTGACGACTAAGAAGGCTGGCATACGAAGCCAAAGATCAATTGCTTCACTACGGGTGGATAGTTCTCTAGCTACCATGGAGGAGGACAACGACAAGGATAGCTCCCCTGTTTCTGTACATGATCCTTGGTTCAGTGAACAGAGTTCACCTTCAACAAACAGCTTATTGGGTCATGTAGTTCACTGACATAAGATTAAGACAGACTCTACTCTTTTTGTGTGCTTAACCTCATATATATTACTATCGTATAAAAAAGTACTGTTAATAGTGAAAACCATAGAGGTATTTTTGTCTGGTTTTTGTGCTTTGATTCTCCTCTTGTTTACTCAATTATAAAGTAGAAAAATGTAAAAAAAATAAGATAAAGGAGTGCAAATTGATAAAATATGAATGCTAAACTTGTGATGTCTAATATACGGCCACCATTTCCGCACGAAAAAAAAAATTACGGCCACCATAATCTCTGTATTTGACATACAAATTTCAAATCACATATTAGTACTAAATACATTGTGGATTCATTAGTAAATTGTGCATTTTGTTGGATTCAAAAACATCGTGAGTCTCTATTGTCCGTTACTATTAGGCCATTATCTGAGTTTTTATTGTCCCCTTTTGAGTTTTTACTTTTCCAAAGTTATTACCTGTATAAAGTATTTAGCATTTTCACATTTAATACTCGTATTGTATACGTACGTACATATTTTTCATGTTTAATACACTTGTTTTTTACAAAATTTTCAATAATGTAGACAAAATTAACGTATTATTCACAAAATGCTTACATATTATTGAATAAAAATAAAATATATTTAAATATTTAAATACTAATTATTCACTAAGTAAATAATAATTAAAACATAACTACTAATTAAAGTAATTTAAAAAGAGAAATTTAGGGAATGCTACTCAATGTGTATAGCCGCGCGGCTATACTTTTAAAAAAAATTCTATTTACAGAGTAGGGCCGAGCAGCTATACTGTAAAAAAATATTCTATTTACAGAGTATAGCCGCTTGGCGGTAGTTTAAAAACAATTATATTTACAGAGTATCGCCGCGCGGCTATACTGTTGAAATATTATCTTTATAGAGTATAACCGGACGGCTATACCTGTTTCACCAAAACACGCGCTAGGCGTCAGGCGCTAGGCGGATCCTATGTTTTTATATTTATAAATAGTATAGCCGCGCGGCTATACCCCGGTTTTTAAAAAATGAAAAATAGGCTATACTCTTTACATAGATATTGTGGTCGTTTTTTTATAATTCTTTTTTGGGTAAACTATAGTAAACCCCCAACCTATAGGGTTATTTACGAGTGCATACCCGATTTTGGGGACATTTACGAGTACATACTCAACGTCGCGGAAAACCTACAATTTGCCCCCTCCGTTAGCGAGATAGTCAGAAAATCCGTCATCTGCCTACGTGGCATTTATGAGACCCATTTTTTAATTAACATAGACTCCACATAAGAAATAAAATTATTAAAAATAATTAAAAATCTAAAAACCCATAAATTTTTTTTTAAAAATAACTCATCTTTTCCAATTTTCCCTGCCTTCCACCCTGACCTCCAACCCACCTTCCTCACAGCTCGGCCCCACCTCCATTAGATCTTACTCTCTCCAACCCAGATCAAGTAGCCATCTCTCTCTCTCTCTCTCTCTCTCTCTCTCCCACACATTTCCCCTGCCTTCTAGCCTGACCTCCAACCCACCCTCCCCCCAGCTCCACCCCACCTCCATTAGATTTGACTCACTTCAACCCAGATCAGGTCGCCATGCTAAATATAGCTCATAAATTGATTTTGGCTCACTCTGTTTCTCAAGTTTACATATACCAATTCTTCTACTTAATTCTGAAGTTTCCTTGGTTTTGAAAATTGAAAGAAAATCTGTCGTTGCACTTTGGGTATTGTTGCTGGTACTAAGTGGCACCTGTCATTATTTGTTTGTTTGATGTTGCTCAGTTACCATTCTAATAGTTCGCTTCATATGTTAACAAATGAGACTCTTAGCTTTATAGGCTGCTGTTATGAGTTTAGTGGTTGGATCTCTTGTTTGGTTGGAGGATCCCGAAGAAGCTTGGATAGATGGTGAAGTTGTGAAGGTTAAAGTTGAATAGATTGAGGAGGGTTTGGATAGCAATAGCTTCCTCTTCTCCTTCCATCCTCTGTGGGTTGGGTGGTTCAGTAGTTCGAATATTGTGGCTTTCCGCAATGCGAAGGATTCTGCCCTTTTCATTTGGTTAGGGATTGGATTTGATTGGGGAACTTCCCAGAATATGAGTTTTTGTGATGATCTGAAGGATTTGATTTGATTGTTATTTTTTGGAGAGATGGATCTGTTATCTGCAATCAGCGAAGAGCTGGCGAAGATCGACGGCCAAATCATTGACATTTTCCGTGCATTATCGTGAGCATTTTCATTTTATGCCTCTGTTTGGATTTGGGTTGATTAAGGGATTGAGTTTCAGAGTGTTTTATGGTTCCTTCTTGGAAATTCAAGTCTAATGCTAGTGTTTGGATTCCTTCCAATTCCAAGCACCCAGAGTTACATGGGGTTAAAGAAATTGGGTGGGAGAAGAAATATGGGTGGGGGGAAAGAAATCTTCAAGGGGGAAGAAATTGGGGAAGAGGAATAATATGGGTAGGGTTTTTATTTTAATTTTTTAATTTAATATGTTTATTTATTTTTAAATAATGTAAAAAGTAAATTTTTTTAATTAGTTTTTTGTCAACGTGGAACCCCATATTAATTAAAAAATGGGTCTCACAAATGCCACGTAGGCAGATAACAGATTTTCTGACGATCTCACTAACAAAAGGGGCAAATTGTAGATTTTCCGCGATATTGAGTATGTACTTGTAAATGTCCCCAAAATCAGGTATGCACTCGTAAATGACCCTATAGACTCGTTATATAGATATTGTGAATTTTTATTTATTTTTTAATAATTGTTTTTCCCCAATTTTTGTTTATCAATAAGAGTAGTTTAATCATTATATATATATATATATATATATATAAAAGATATGGCTTTATATGATTAAAAAAAATAGATGCAAAAAATACAATTGCACAATGATTGGTTGCTTAATAGTATCTTATAAAAGGATAACAAATTAAAATGATAAGATGCAAAACCTTCAAATGGGCTCACGACAATTTATTATAATTATTATTATTTTGCTACATGCAAAACCATAAATTTATTATCGTTGGTGATCAACTTATAGGCAGCCTAAGCCTGAATTATTTAGGGTCACAAACTTTATGACATTCTTGTTGAGTTGGCCAGCATTCCTGGTTAATGGCGCAGCACCAGCATTGTTGCCGCTGATGAGTTACTGCACATTGTTCTGAGCAAAACGTCAGTTTGCTCCCCCATACTTTCACAACATCACCTCTCACCCTTAAACTCTCAACCACATTGCTTTGCTCGCTGCTAGTCTCCCCAATGCTGCTTTCATTGCCTGTTTATAAACAGTGTCACATGGAAAAATTAATTAATACATAAATTAATAAATAAATCTTGATTCGAGATGTTAATTAATCTTGGTTTGACAAGCATGAAGTGGAGATAAATCATGTGCTTACATTCAGAAAGAGCCAAGAGGGCTATGAAGGCCATGCAAAACAGAACCAACTGCACCTTGATTGCCATTGATGATTTGTTTGAGAGAGTGATTTAAGATGCAAACTTTGTGGTGATATGAGGTCAAAATATTGTTGGGTTTTTATAATAAGATGATTTAAGCCTGAATTTATTAGTGAAGATCCATGGTGATAGCATAGAATCCAACAACACTAGAAAAGTAGTGAGCTAATTGGAACTACTTTAAAGTTCTTAATTGTAATTACCTTTTATAGTAAATCAAATCTAAGGTCTTTTTTCTGTTAATTTTGGGTTAGGTGATCCCCTCCACTTGTAATGGTTTTACCTTTTTTTATTATTATTATTACAGTTGAATGCAATTAGATGTGGATTACATGGTTACAAATCCAATAAAATCCGATTCAATCTATGATTCAGTGTGTTTTTACCAAACCTTTCACATTTCATTCATACATAATTCCCTTATGGCATGTTCACTTATTTGTAACGGGAGAAGTCATGAATGAGAGAAATCTAGAATAATGATGATAATTATCAAGTATGAGATCAACTATACCCTCCTAATCGAACCAATTCCTATAAAAAATATTCTAATAGTAATGGCTTTTTTTATTATTAGAAAATTATTACAGTTGACACCAGAAAAAATAAAATAAAATCTGTGGTGCAGTGCAGAGTAAAATCTGTGGTTGAGAGGTTGGTGATCATTCACAAAATTTTCAATAATGTAGACAAAATTAACGTATTATTCACAAAATGCTTACATATTATTGAATAAAAATAAAATATATTTAAATATTTAAATACTAATTATTCACTAAGTAAATAATAGTTAAAACATAACTACTAATTAAAGTAATTTAAAAAGAGAAATTTAGGGAATGCTATTCAATGTGTATAGCCGCCCGGCTATACTTTTAAAAAAATTCTATTTACAGAGTATAGCCGCTTGGCGGTAGTTTAAAAACAATTATATTTACAGAGTATCGCCGCGCGGCTATACTGTTGAAATATTATATTTATAGAGTATAACCGCGCGGCTATACCTGTTTCACCAAAACACGCGCTAGGCGTCAGGCGCTAGGCGGGTCCTGTGTTTTTTTATTTATAAATAGTATAGCCGCGCGGCTATACCCTGGATTTTTTAAAATAAAAAATAGGCTATACTCTTTACATAGATATTGTGGTCGTTTTTTTAAAATTCTTTTCTGGGTAAACTACAGTAAACCCCCAACCTATAGGGTTATTTACGAGTGCATACCCGATTTTGGGGACATTTACGAGTACATACTCAACGTCGCAGAAAACCTACAATTTGCCCCCTCCGTTAGCGAGATCGTCAGAAAATCCGTCATCTGCCTACGTGGCATTTATGAGACCCATTTTTTAATTAACATGGACTCCACATAAGAAATAAAATGATTAAAAATCTAAAAACCCATAAAATTTTTATAAAAAATTTAATTAACTCATCTTTTCCAATTTTCCCTGCCTTCCAGCTTGACCTCCAACCCACCCTCCTCACAGCTCGGCCCCACCTCCATTAGATCTAACTCTCTCCAACCCAGATCAAGTAGCCATCTCTCTCTCTCTCTCTCTCTCTCTCTCTCTCTCTCTCTCCTACATTTCCTCTGCCTTCTAGCCTGACCTCCAACCCACCCTCCCCCCACCTCCACCCCACCTCCACCCCACCTCCATTAGATTTGACTCACTTCAACCCAGATCAGGTCGCCATGCTAAATATAGCTAATAAATTGAGTTTGGCGCACTCTGTTTCTCAAGTTTACATATACCAATTCTTCTACTTAATTATGAAGTTTCCTTGGTTTTGAAAATTGAAAGAAAATCTGTCATTGCACTTTGGGTATTGTTGCTGGTACTAAGTGGCACCTGTAGTTATTTGTTTGTTTGATGTTGCTCAGTTACCATTCTAATAGTTCGCTCCATATGTTAACAAATGAGACTCTTAGCTTTATAGGCTGCTGTTATGAGTTTAGTGGTTGGATCTCTTGTTTGGTTGGAGGATCCCGAAGAAGCTTGGATAGATGGTGAAGTTGTGAAGGTTAAAGTTGAACAGATCGAGGAGGGTTTGGATCGCAATAGCTTCCTCTTCTCCTTCCATCCTCTGTGGGTTGGGTGGTTCAGTAGTTCAAATATTGTGGCTTTCCGCAATGCGAAGGATTCTGCCCTTTTCATTTGGTTAGGGATTGGATTTGATTGGGGAACTTCCCAGAATCTGAGTTTTTGTGATGATCTAAAGGATTTGATTTGATTGTTATTTATTGGTGAGATGGATCTATTATTTGCAATCAGCGAAGAGCTGGCGAAGATCGACGGCCAAATCATTGACATTTTCCGTGCATTATCGTGAGCATTTTCATTTTATGCCTTTGTTTGGATTTGGGTTGATTAAGGGATTGAGTTTCAAAGTGTTTTATGGTTCCTTTTTAGAAATTCAAGTCTAATGCTAGTGTTTGGATTCCTTCCAATTCCAAGCACCCAGAGTTACATGGGGTTGAAGAAATTGGGTGGGAGAAGAAATCTGGGTGGGGGGGAAGAAATCTTCAAGGGGGAAGAAATTGGGGGAGAGGAATAATCTGGGTAGGGTTTTTATTTTTAATTTAATATGTTTATTTATTTTTAAATAATGTAAAAAGTAAATTTTTTTATTAGTTTTTTGTCAACGTGGAACCCCATGTTAATTAAAAAATGGGTCCCACAAATGCCACGTAGGCAAATAACATATTTTCTGACGATCTCACTAACAAAATGGGCAAATTGTAGGTTTTCCGCGATGTTGAGTATGTACTTGTAAATGTCCCCAAAATCAGGTATGCACTCATAAATGACCCTATAGACTCGTTATATAGTTACTGTGAATTTTTATTTATTTTTTAATAATTATTTTTCCCCAATTTTTGTTTATCGATAAGAGTAGTTTAGACTCATGACTTGCATTTCCTTTAAATCATTATATATATATATATATATATATTTATATTAAAAAAAATAGATGCAAAAAATACAATTGCACAATGATTGGTTGCTTAATAGTATCTTGTCAAAGGATAACAAATTAAAATGATAAGATGCAAAACCTTCAAATGGGCTCACGACAATTTATTATAATTATTATTATTTTGCTACATGCAAAACCATAAATTTATTATCGTTGGTGATCAACTTATAGGCAGCCTAAGCCTAAATTATTTAGGGTCACAAACTTTATGACATTCTTGTTGAGTTGGCCAGCATTCCTGGTTAATGGCGCAGCACCAGCATTGTTGTCGCTGATGAGTTACCGCACATTGTTCTGAGCAAAACGTCAGTTTGCTCCCCCATACTTTTACAACATCACCTCTCACCCTTAAACTCTCAACCACATTGCTTTGCTTGCTGCTAGTCTGAGTCTCCCCAATGCTGCTTTCATTGCCTGTTTATAAACAGTGTCACATGGAAAAATTAATTAATACATAAATTAATAAATCAATCTTGATTTGAGATGTTAATTAATCTTGGTTTGACAAGCATGAAGTGGAGATAAATCATGTGCTTACATTCAGAAAGAGCCAAGAGGGCTATGAAGGCCATGCAAAACAGAACCAACTGCACCTTGATTGCCATTGATGATTTGTTTGAGAGAGTGATTTAAGATGCAAACTTTGTGGTGATATGAGGTCAAAATATTGTTGGGTTTTTATAATAAGATGATTTAAGCCTGAATTTATTAGTGAAGATCCATGGTGATAGCATAGAATCCAACAACACTAGAAAAGTAGTGAGCTAATTGGAACTACTTTAAAGTTCTTAATTGTAATTACCTTTTATAGTAAATCAAATCTAAGGTCTTTTTTCTGTTAATTTTGGGTTAGGTGATCCCCTCCACTTGTAATGGTTTTACCTTTTTTATTATTATTATTACAGTTGAATGCAATTAGATGTGGATTACATGGTTACAAATCCAATAAAATCCGATTCAATCTATGATTCAGTGTGTTTTTACCAAACCTTTCACATTTCATTCATACATAATTCCCTTATGGCATGTTCACTTATTTGTAACGGGAGAAGTCATGAATGAGAGAAATCTAGAATAATGAAGATAATTATCAAGTATGAGATCAACTATACCCTCCTAATCGAACCAATTCCTATAAAAAATATTCTAATAGTAATGGCTTTTTTTATTATTAGAAAATTATTACAGTTGACACCAGAAAAAATAAAATAAAATCTGTGGTGCAGTGCAGAGTAAAATCTGTGGTTGAGAGGTTGGTGATCATTCTTTTTGTAGTAAAAGAAAAATGTTCGTGTGATAAGAGCATGAACATACATTGAGCAAGAGCCAAGAGGGTTATGAACACAATGCAAAAGAGAGCCCCTTGCACTCTGATTGATTTACCAGCCTCCATTGACGTCTATAGAGACAACTTCTTAAATCGTAGGGCAGTTTCATAAGAACTCAGATTTCAGTTTAGTATCGAACAATCTGCATTCGACAGATGTCAGTTTTTTTAATTATCTTTTATTTTCCAGCAAACGGGCATCCATGGTTATATAAGTACAGAGCACTCTGGTATAGCTACAAATACTTTTAGTTTAACTCCATGCATTGTGCATATTGCTCTACATATTCAGTCAGTCTATTATTAGGCATGTTATCTTACACGCAACATAACACACAAAATGTGCATCAACATGTGTTAAGTCATGTAAACATCCACATTTTGTCGGAATTTTAAAAGGTTTTAAAAAATTTAACCGTGTTATTTATTCAATTATTTTGACTGTTTTATTTTATTTTATTTATTGTGAGAGTTATACATACTTATTTTTTCAGGTATTATTTCTATATTGAATGCCTTAATTTTCTGGTTTAATGTGGTGAAAGTTACATATTATTGGATGCCTATAAAAGGCCACTCCTCCTTCACATTTGAACAAACACAATACACCATCAGAATATCTCATACAACAATCTGATTCTCTCCTATTCTACTTTTATATACTTTCTCTACTTATATTATTATTTTGGGCAATGATTATGTGATTTGGATACCTATCTATGAACGTTTCATAGTGGATCTTGAGTTTGTGTACAAGGGGTTGTATCTTGGAGTCTTGTAGACTGCTAGTACCTGCATATAGGGAGGCTACAAAGGCTTTAGGACAATATCTTTAATGTGTTTCACCATGCCAAACTCACCTTCTTATTTATGATCTATTTTGCTTCTACTTACCTATTAATCTGTTTTCTTCAATTTCATTGTACCTTAAAAGCTTTCCAATTTGTTTATACGTTATTTATAATATAAATATTTTTGTATTTGGCTTTACGGAAAAGAAAAACTATATTTTTTATAACACATTTAATGTAGCTAGTTGGAGCAAAATAATTTTGTGAAAAACAAAAACTATAAACAAATTTATAATTTTCCATTGTTATACATATACAAACCCTTCTGAAAAGTCTGCACTCAAAGAGAGGTTTTCACACATACACTACTAAGACCACTAGGGCTAAATCCCGTTTGCAATTGAATACTACTTTAAAAGTCTTAATTGTAATTACCGTTTATAGTCACAACTTGGAAATCAAAAGATAAAAGTAAACGCAACTTGTAATTACCGTTTAGGTCTTGTTGGAGAATTAATGGGTTTGTGATTTAAATTTTATTATTCTTTAGAAATGAGTAAACGCAACTTGCAACTTGTGATTACCGTTTAAGAGTAGCATTATTCAAGATTTGATTAATGGTGTGCCCGAAATGCTCTTAAATGCAATAAAACACAAATTATCATGATCAATTCCTGATTTTATGTGGGTCTCTTTTACTTTTTAATTCCTTAATATGAAGTAAATGCAGGAATCTTCCATAATTGGAATTCAATTCATGATTAGTGAACACACCATAAATGCAATGAAACACAAATTGCATAGTTTTTTAGTGCCGCAAACTTATCATAATCCTAATTCATTTGTCTCACTGTCCGTCACCACTTGGATTCAGGGCGGAGACACATGGTAGCTTCTGGAGGTGCTAGAAGCGAATATACTTTAGTACGGAGTGTTGGGGGAGAAAATTATATATTTCCCAAAGTTTTTCATGAATTGTAGAAAATGTTCTTAAAATTACCCGCCAAATTGCTTAATTGTAGTTACTCAATTGGCTCCTTAACACAGATAAAGTAAAGCAGAATGATCAAAGATTCATACAAAAAGCCATCAAATGGGCTTCTGAAAGTTTATTATTGTTTTATTTGTGCCAAAACTGCGCACCAGTACAAGTCTCTGAAATTAAGTTGATAACGAAGAGCAGCTGCCTGAGCTAAGGTAGCTAGGGGTGGCAACCTTGGTCACATGCTTCATGAGTCTTCCAGCACACGTCACGGTGGAAGGCGCAACACCACCAATCCGACCCTGGTGGTCCGCTCTTACCGGCTTGAATGCAAAATGTTAGTTTGCGTCCCCTTATATCATTGTTCGCCATTATATTCTCAACACCATTGCTTTCCTTGCCTGTTTAATTATCATATAATGTCACATGAAAAAAGAAAAAGTAAATAAATATGAATAAAATCTGTAAAATATAAGAAGTAAACTTGGTTAGGTGTTGATCAATCTTTGATTTGACAAGCATGGAGATGATAGATGCTTACATTCAGTAAGAGCCAAGAGGGCTACGAAGACGATGCAGAACAGAACCAGCTGCACTTTGATTGCCATTTGATGTTTTGTTTGAGAGAGAGTGATTTGATGCAAACTTTGTTGTTGTGGTGATATGTTGTCAAAACATTGTTGGGTTTTATAACAAGAAAATTTATTAGTGAACATTCATGGTGAAATATTAGAATCCAACAATACTAAAACGGTTGTGATTGTCTTAGTTTATCATTTGTAATTGAATGTCTTTATTTACTAAACTTTCCCCATACAATTCAGCCCGGTTTGGTGAGTTGGATTATGTAGTTGGATGGGATTCATAATCCTAGTTAAATGTTTGGTGCCCTAAAAACAACATGGATTGGATTATTTCTAATCCTACTAAAGCCGAATGTAGTAAGATTATGAATCCTACCAAAATATTGCGATTAAGTTGGATTGGACTTTGTCTATTCCTACTAAGCCATGTAATAGCACACTAATTCAACCCTATTGAATTAGTGTTATCATTTCCAATCCAATGTAATTCAATGCAATCCAATTCTACCTCATATTCCAATCCAATTCTAGTCACCAAACATGGCATTGGATTAAATTTGCAAGGACTAACTAATATTTAGTCTAGTGGTATTTGTCTCTATTTGGTTGGAGGAGGTCTCAGGTTCAACTCACATGAATGACGAGGACAATGTATATTTATAATGAGTTCGATACTTAAATATAAATAGCCTTATTGTTATGACATAACTTTGTAGTGTATTGGCCCATTGTAAAGATTAATTTATGATACTTGGATTAGAGTCGCGGTGCAATAGTCACGCCGAAGAATTTTTCTAAACTCAAAACAAGCCATTGTTCGAACGCACTTTGTGTTGTCAAATTGCCAAAAATTAAAAAGCCTGATGGCTCCCAAAATACTTTTCAAAAGTGGCTCAAGCCAGTTTATTATTTATTGATTTATTGTACCACATTCAAAAATTAAGCAAAATTCAGCCGAGGCACAAGTCTCTTTGTTGAAGATCCAATTACAGAGCCTAAGCTAGAAGAAGGTATAGCTAGGCTCAGGGGCTAAGGGGTGGCAACCTGCGTTACATTCTTCTCGAGTTGGCCAGCAGTCATGGTGGAAGGCGCAGCACCAGCATTCTAGACCTGTAGCTTCTTACATTTTTCTGAGCAAAATGTTTTTTTGCGGCGCCTGTTGCTCTCAATATCAACAGTTTTGTGGTGATATGAGGTCAAAACATTGTTGGGTTTTGATATCAATAAAATTGGAAAGATCTTAATTGTAAACAAAATCACCTTTTATTTGTAAGCGGATTAATTGTAAATATATATATTAGTTTTGGCAAGTGATCAGTTGTTTCAATTCAAATATGTAATTACCTTTTATGGAAAAATCAAATCTGAAGGTCCAAGTTTCAGTTTGGTTTTGGGTTTTACCAATGTCACGGAATCTGCCATCCAATTCTGTTTCAATCGGTCTTATAATTTTTCTCCAGGTTGTGTGTTCGATTCCCCCTCCCTCAATAGCATTTGTACTAACCGGAAGAGAGACTCTGCTCAGAATTCATTCGAGGAAGGTGTATATTATTAATGATTTCTAAGCAAAGTATCAAAGTTACAATACAGGGACTCACTTCCTTGATAGGACTTTACAATTGCAGTACAAATTTAACCTGTAGAGAAAGCTATGAGCTTGCAGGAGTTAGCCAATAATGCACTGGAGGCATCTGTTCAGGATTGGCAATCGCTATCATTTGCGATCTTAACCTGCAGGTTGAAAATTTCCAAGATTCAGTCTCACATGAAATGCAATGGCAATATTGTCAGAAAGATTATACAACAAATATATGTACTTGGAACCCAGCAGGGTGAACAACTCAATATTAATCTATCTCTTCAAAGACACTTGAAGTATAAGTTACTCAGCTGGACAGTTATTACCTTTATATGTAAATCCCTTAAGAACCAGATGGGTTCTTCTCTAAAAGAAGTTAGCACCTATCCATGACTTCTTGGATCGGCAACTTGGTGAACCTTTCGGGCCTCAGCACTTGAAAACTGCCCCACTACACGAGCGTGCGGTATGGAGGCTTCTCCACGGGCAAGGGCATCCACATTCTCAAGCAGGTACTTCTCTGGAAGCCTGCCTACTACGTTACCCTCTTCATTGCCCTTTTTATCTAGGAATGCAAAGTGTGGAATACCCTCAACACCAAACTCGTCAAGCTCCTGTTCCCACTTTGTGTTGTCAACATTCAGCATAACAAAATTTACACGACCCCTGAATAAAAAGAGTGGTAAATGTGAAAGATGATAACAGATCTATGGTAAAAGAAGAAACTGTGCATGAGGTAAACATTTCAGGAATGCGTGAGCTTTGAGAATCGAAGATTGTGAAGCTCTTACATATTTAGAGAATCTTATGGATTTCAAACATAAATACCCACGAAGGAACATTCACTATTTTCAAGCTTGTAGTAGAGATGTAATTTTAATCAAGAACAAGTTAGAACTTGAAGATCATACTTATACTGCTGCTCAACTTTATAGACATCTGGAGCTAATTCCTTGCATACTTCACACCAATCGGCATAGAACTCAACAACAGTAGGCTTCCCATTTGACAGAGCCTAATCAGCATAAATACAGAAGATCATTAGCAAAAACAGCAATGATATCACATTGAAGATTATGTAAAGATTCATTCACATGCATGTACATTATGGAAAACACAAATAGCTGATTGAATACACGGGGAAATAACAAATCAAGAAAAAGCTTGCGTGCATAACTTGAGAACTTAGAAAATATAAGTAACAAAAGATATGCCTTGCTTTTCTAAGAAAGGCATGAGGGAACCTGTTTGTACTAATTAGTGCACTGTCTAAGAGCATACAAATCCTCTGAAGTTCAAATTCCATTATGAAATAAGGTTTGAGCCTCATCATTGAAATAGTTCATTTGTACTGAAATATCTAAGGTATTGCTTGAGGTTATAGAAACCTTTTTCTAGTTCTCAACCATGCTCATCACAACCGCCTACCGACCCATCTACATAACCTGTTACACGAGACAGTAAAAAGAGCATAGCTAATTGAACACACCTCTTCATAAGGTAAGGCAGCAACAGATAAGTCCTTCAAAGAAACACCAAAATCTAGTCGTCCTGATAAGAAAAGTGCTAGTGCTGCAAGAGTAGAAACCAATGCTACATGCTTGTTGGTATTTTTGTTCGGAAACTCTGGAGGGCCAGAGTCTCTTGAGGAACTCGTAGCTTGGCTACTGCTATCATTGCCTGAGCCTGGCTCAACAATCGATTTCTCCTGAATCAGAATAGTTGATGAAGATAACACTAGTCATACGATAAAATAAACTTGAAAAACTTTTCAAACAAGAAATTTAACCAACACTGGCTCAGATATACAACAATCCACGAAAACAAGGACAAGCACCATAATTCAGGTGAAATTAAGTTTTTTTTCGTATATAAAGAAACACTTTTTCAGAATATGAACTAATGGGCATGCATACTTTGCCAGATGATCAACTTTGCAGTTACCTTCACTTATGCAACAAAATTATGACATTTTGCTAAACTTAAAGCTCAAAACTTTGGATGCCCATACAACAAAAATGGAGGCACTAAACTATTTTCAATGGCCCAACTCATAAATTTCAAATCTATCAGCATAATGGAAAGTCTATATATAATCATAAACTCCACCTTTTATCAATCAAAAACAACTTTGACCTTAACACTTGAAACCCAGTAAAAATAATTTGGCAAATATGCAGAATATTGAAAAGGGAACACTTGTAGCCCTCCAACTAGTGCTTTTAAGCTTCTTCAGAAAAGATTAGAGGCAAAATTTAAGCGTACCGTTGTGGAGGTCTCGGTTGGATCTGGGGTTTGTTGGCAAGAAACGGTTCGAAATCTGCGGTGCTCGTTTCGGAAGTGAAGAGAGGTTCTAGCATGTTGGGGAAGCTGAGCAACCTGGAAACATGGCCGGAATCTATGGAGACCAACTGGGTTTGAAGCCACGCGAGCCATTGCAGATAACTGGTGACACTTTGGGTTAAATTAATTAATCACTATGCCGTACAATGGCTTCTTTTATGGATGAGCGAGCGAGCGAGACTGAGTCTTTTCACGTTTTAACTATATTTAACGACTTTTTTTATTTTTCTATAATAACGACTTTCTGATTTTAGATATTTTTTATAAAATAAAATAAAGGCTTATGGTGCTCGTCATCTTTCGTGGCACATTGAACTGCCGTACAAATTGCAGACAGGCGGGTCATGAAAAGCTCAATCTTTTTTTTCTTTTTTGGTTGCTATTTTGGTATGAACGCCAACCTGAATTTATTCTCAAAAAATTTCACGTATATAATTAAAAACTCGATGATATAAATGAAACTGGATTTAAATTTTACAGAGCCACGCAGCTAATCAACACTATAAATTAAGGTTACAACAAGCTCACGATTTCTAACTAACTCTCTGGCCCCAAAATCCCATTCACGACCGAAGTCGCCACCAAAATCCCCACAACCTCCGCTCCCGCCACCGCTCCAGCCTGCGCTAGCCCGCCAAAGCTCACCGCCGCCTCCACCCCTTTCTCCGCCGTTTCGATCCCTCGCTCTGCTGTTTCGAGCCCCTTCTCCGCCGTTTCGAGCCCCTTCTCCGCCGTTTCGATGCCCTTCTCCGCCGCCTCAAACCCTTCCTTCACTATCACCTCCGCCCCCCTCTCCGCCTCCTTCAGCTTCCTCTTCAGCCCAAACAGCCCGATGTCTTCCGCCTTCGCCTCCACCGCCACAGCCGACAGCGCCGCCGTCCAAGTCAGCGACAGCGCCAGCTGTCTCCGACCGGGTAATGCGAGTCCACGTGGCGGCGCAGGTTTGGAGGCAGCCGTGGGTGAGTTGCGGGGCGCATTGCGCACTGGGTGGAGAGCTAGAACTGAGGCTCTCGCAGTAGCCATGTCTTTTCTTTCTGTGAAATTTGTGAATTCTGATACCACACGCTAACCAAATCTTCGAGCTACTTTTCCTTTATTTTATTTATAAAATAAATTTTGTAAATGACGAATACACCCTGGACAACAAAACGCACCGTGTTGCAGTCTATATAGACGAACAAACGGTGCTCTTTCCATTTTCATTTTCCCTCTATAAAATTGGGGGTTTCTAAGCGAGCTCTGTACATTTTTGCGCCAGAACGAAGGTTTTTGATTTTGAAACCATGGTTGAAGAAGCGTCGGCATCGGTGGGCGAAACCCTACCCCAAAACGCGCTGGAGACTCAGAGGTCCAACGAGGCCACCATCACAGATGGAGCTCAGGGAGGCGCCGAGTCTACTTGCAACAACGACAACGCGGAAGCTTCAGCTGTCACTTCCGATGGAGATCGCGAGAAGTCGCTGGAGTTTGCCGACGAGTTGATGGAGAAGGGTTCCAAGGCCATCAAAGACTCTGATTTCGGAGAGGCCACCGAGTGCTTCAGCCGTTCCTTGGAAATCAGGTTAGGGTTTTTGATTTCCATGCTTTTTCTTGCTTGCCTGATTCCACATTCTTTTTGTTTGCTTTGAAATTGAGCCCTTTTGGAAGTTATTTGTTTGTTGGGCGTCTATGATGCTGTAATATTGTTACCTTTGTTTGCTTTCCCAAACATTAACCCTAACTGTAGGTCAGTTAATTGATTTCTTGTGCTTCCGTTGCCTTGGTTTGCATAGTCTTTTGCATTTTCAGAAATTGGTATTGTGCCCGTGAGCCCCACGAAGCGTACAATTTAGTTTCCAAATCATGCATTCGTAGAGTACCAATTTCTTTATCTTTCATATCTTGTTGCATTTGCTTGGTGATACTAAGGTGTCTCGGGTTTTCGTTGGGCTCAAGTGGTGAGGGAGGGTAGCGAAATGGGTTAGGACTTGGATAGGTTCGATCCCTCCAATGAAACCTGAAAAAACATGTTTCTAGGCTTTTTCATTAAATGTTTGCCATCATTTCTACTCTCACTTAAACTCAGTTGCTTATTAGCAGATGATGAATATTCTAAACTATTATATTTGTGTCAACAAAACCAGGGTTGCACATTATGGCGAACTTGCTCCTCAATGTGTCAATGCATACTATAAGTATGGATGTGCATTGCTTTACAAAGCTCAAGAGGAGACTGATCCCTTGGGTGTTGTTCCCAAGAAGGAGGATGAATCTCAGCAAGGATCTGCTAAGGTTGGTTCTGTTAAGAATGTTGTAAATGGTGAATCTTCTACAGCTTCTGCTTCAAGTGATGCTGAACAGGATGGTAGTTTGAATCATGAGGAGGGAGCAGCTGATGAGGGTGGTATGTCACTTGTGATGCTTATTGATTATAATCATCTAATATAGAACTTTCATCCGTTGGCAGTCAATCATGAACAAAGCACATGCTTTTTGCATAAATGTTGCACATTTTCGAATATGATATCTTTATTACATATAATGCAATGATATTTTAATCATGTTTCTGTGATGACACCATAGTTGCTTACATAGTCTGCTTTACTATCATTATGCCACCTCAAATCCATTGGAATAATCAAATGAATCATAATTTCTGTTACGGGACATATCATGGGTACATTACCATCATGAGTGCTACATCCTATTTAAATTTCGAGATGCAAATCTGCAAGGAACACTGTTCTGCAAATATATCAACCGGGAAAATAAAATAAACTTTATCCATTTGTGTGTGCATGTTCTCTCATAGTCTGGTTTAGATCTTTGTGGAATTGAAGTATCATATAATCGATATTTTAGTTTTTTATTTGGTCTGCATTTAGAAACTCATTTGACTGTCTGTTCTCGGCAAGATACTGAGAAATACTCTGTCATGCACACACATACACAAGTTTAATAAAGCACCATTACCTGCAAAAATACAGTGCAGCCTGAAAAGCATATAAGTGACATAAATTTAGGTATACAATATTGTGTAAGATGATGTTTTCTGTCCCAAAACTGATGGGTTGAGAATTATTTTATTCAAATTACCAATGTAACTATAAGTTTACAGTGTTTATCCTTATTATATCGACTGTATCATAAAACAGTTGTTCATTTCCTTCTCTGAGGCAGCTTCTGGTGAAAAAGACCAGGAAGAAGAACATGATGATAGTGATGTTGAAGACCTGGCTGAAGCAGATGAAGATGAGACTGACCTTGATTTGGCATGGAAAATGCTAGATGTTGCAAGAGCAATTGTTGAAAAACACTCAGGTGACACAATGGAGAAGGTGGACATATTATCAGCTTTGGCTGAAGTTGCACTGGAAAGAGGTTTGTTATGTACTCAATTTAGTTGAATTGAGATCTGTATATCTTTCCTTAGGCGAAAGAGGTTCGTGAACTTCCACACTACAATTTTGGTGCATTTGTTTCGAAAGCACCTTATTTGGCTTTGTTGGTGCTCCTTGTAGAGGACGTTGAAACTTCTCTCAGTGACTACCAGAAAGCACTATCCATTTTGGAGCGGTTGGTTGAGCCAGATAGTCGACGTATAGCTGAACTGTATCCTATTCAAGATTGACATATTTGAAATGCTCTGTTGGCTTTGCCAAAATCTGTTAAAAAGATTTTTTTCGATGTATTTACTTGGTCAGTTCGAACCTTGGTTCTTAAAAATTAGCTATAAGAAGTTCTTTTCCATAGTTTTTATCTTATTACATTTTGGTTTCCCCCGTTCCACTGGGCCAGGGACTCATGACCTTAACTGGAGAATTCAGAAACTTTCGAATATGTTTGTGTTTGGAGATTGGTTCCAAGCCTGAGGAAGCCATTCTGTATTGCCAGAAGGCTATATCAATCTGCAAGTCTCGTGTGCGGCGACTCATGCTCGAATCAAGGAGTTTCTCAGAATCTACGACCTCGTCGGCTGCTTCTGTATTGGAGCAGGGTGTCACGCTCTCCTCAACTGTGACCGAGTCTGATAGTACTGTGACAGATAAGCAGGCAGAGATTGAAACACTAACTGGACTCTCTGGAGATCTGGAAAAGAAGGTATTTGTTAATTTTCTAGCCCTTTTTTTCCAGTTTCAAACATGTTTTTCTGATTTTTGTATTCTTGAGTTGTAGCTTGAAGATCTGCAACAACTGGCCTCAAACCCAAAATCCATTCTTGCTGAAATTCTGGGATTGGCGTCTGCCAAGGCAAAAGGCACTGAGAAGAGTGAATCCTCAGCAGGGCAGAGCTCTTCACGGATGGGAGCTGCTGACAACATTGGAGGCTTTGACTCCCCAACTGTTTCTACTGCTCATACGAATGGAACTTCTGGAGTCACACATCTCGGTGTGGTAGGAAGAGGAGTAAAGCGAGTATTGATGCACTCGGGCACTGCGGAATCAAGCTCAGCGAAGAAACCTGCTTTGGATTCATCTGAAGATAAGGGAGAGGGCAACACATGATGAAGGTTATGGATTCCGGTAATTGTATGAATAGGATTGAGAAATCTTCGTTGGATTCTAGATTCTAGTATTCTATGCAGTGATTCCTAGTTCAAACTAGTAGGCTAGTAGAGTGTTTGTATGGTGATAAATCTTACTATCTAGAAATTGAGATGGAACTCGTCACTGACAATGTGTTTAGTCGGATATTTTCCATGTTATCAAGTCATGCTAGTTTGTGTCCATGAAATGGTCTGTACAAATTGGAAGGTAGCATAATATGTTTTCTCATACTAATCATAGTTCTACAAGCACTCCAGAAAAGTCATCATATACTCTTCCCTTGCGAGGTGCCAGACGATTATTTTGGAGTGTCGATAGGAGGGAACTCATTGCACATGGTGTGGCACCATAGTGGAAAAGTGAGCCAAGGAAGCCAGGCTTCGGAGCCAGTATTGTAATATAGGCATTATCAGATTGGCCAACAATGATCGATCTTTGTATTCTTTTTCTAATCTACTTTAATTTTAAATGTTTATAAAAGAAAATATAAAATAATATATAGAATAATCTTGAGATTCAAATACCATCGAAAAGACCTTCCAATGTTTAAGAATGGAATTGCTCAAATTTGGTCATATTATTCGATTCGATTTGTTATACGTTCAATCTATCACCACCACAAGTTAGAATAACGATGTAGTTGATTACAGCGATCTTAAAAGAAAACTTTTTTCTGGGTTGGTATAATTTGATTTCAAAATTTGCAACTCAAAGTGATCCCACAAGACAGCGAGCCAGTAAGAAAGCATTAATTTACAGCCAAAACCGTTGAAACCTGATTTATTAATTTATGATGATGAACATGTGAAATGTGAAATTGGCTTGGTTGGTGGGTCCATTTCACATTTGGCTTGGTTGGATTGGGTTGGGTTGGGATGTTCAAATTGGTCCTCTAATATTATTGTGTCTTGACATCTAATCATCCGGAAAGGGCACATATATATATATAAATATTTTACTGCACAGTAAATTAAATTAAATTTAAGCTAATTGGCTACCATATCAAGAGAGCATGTGGTGATTGAAACCTAACAAAGTGATGATGGAACAAGAGCGATTGATGTTTATTGGACCTGTCAACTGATGAAGAATCCTAATTATTTCTGATAACGATGTGTTTGTGTGTTTTGTTTTGACTGGTTTAACATTAATCACCATTGAAGCCCATCTTTCATCAGCTTGGGGCTGTTTTCTTCTTAGTGAAACGAACGAAACAGCAAATAAAGTTTACCTAATTACATTGGTTTTTATGCCATCACTGATTACAACAATATAGAATTGGAATTAAGCTTCAACAATCAAGCCCAAGAGGAAGATAAACTTACCTGCATCCAGAATGTCATTATAGCGGTATTTCAAGTCAATAAAGCACTGTCATACGTTCTTAATTTTCTCACATAATAGTTTATCATTAACTTGAGATACCGTCATAATCACAGCCTCATTAAGTTCATAACCCGTTCAATGAAAGTTTTCTCATATGCGAATCATGAAAGCATCTTGACTAGGCCACATTGTAAAATTCCAGATCATGTGTCGAAATTTCTCACAATGAATTGGTTGCCGACAATTTAAAAATGTGTTTTTATTTTATTATTCTTTATTTTTATTATTAAAAAGTAAATAGAAGGTAGGAGAATTACTATGCAGAAAGCGAATGAGCGATAGCTTCAACACTAAGTTTGAGTGGCATTTGAGACAAAACAAGTCGATGATATCAGAGCGACATTGATTGTATTTATACCTTGAAATTGGATAAGGAGAAAACCAAAGCCAGCAGAAAAACCAACCTATCCACGCCAAAGCTATAGCTTTAAGGTTGAGTTGAAATCAAGAGTTTTCCCAAAACGATGTGTTTCAGGGTGGACTGCAAGCAATGTGGGAAGTACTCCTGGGGAGGATGTGGAAAGCACTTGGGCACCCTGTACGCCAGCATAGATGAGGGGAAGCATTGCATGTGCCGCTCATGGCCTGGTGTGGCCATCCCCAAGCAGGGGACACCTGCTCCCCAACAATCTGTGGCCTCAGCCGCAGGTATTTTATTATACTAGATCATTTTTCTTTATTTTTTTCAACTCAAAACTTGCCAAATTAGTACTATTGGTATGTTGAATATAATATTTGGTATGTTTGTGTAGCTAACCCTAATGTGATGCATGTGTATGGCATGTATGTTTTATAGGTTCCTGTTTTCTTGTTATACAATTTGACATGTATTTATGAATTTGAACTTCATGTTTCAAAAACAATCAATCTTACAGTCTGACAATATAACATCGATGTTATCCTTAAAAAACTGATCACAAGCTTAATAGCTTCGTTATTTCAATATTCTCAATGAGCATGAGTGTTATAGGATTAGATGTTCGACAAAATGCCTCAAAGAGTTTAAGTCTGCGGCGGAGGTAGGGTAGTGAGACAAGGGCAAAGTGGCGTGCAACATGAAGAAAAAGAAAATTCTAAATCTGTCTCTTCTTGCGTTGAGTGGCTTAAATTAATAACCTTTTATGCCTGATGTAGATCATGAGCCCATTGATTGATCCTCGATGTTGCTTTGTGCAGAAAAGTAGCAACTCTGAGATGTGTCCAATGCTGGCCAGCAGTAGCCGCCTTATGAGATTGATAGTGGTTGCCAGCATCAATAATGGACAGATGGGGATAATTTGAATAATGGCAGCTCAAAGCCACAAGATGAATACCATCGTATCCATTTTAAGGGGTGTGTTTAATTAGATGTCGTCTGTCTAAGTTTAATCATAATAATGTTAGTGCTGGTGTGTAAATGGTCAAGACACATTTGACCAATTCAAACCTGCCTTTTTCTAGTGTAAGGATTGAATAATACTAATGGAGTGGGGTTGCACCAATCTTCACAAAATCAAACCTTGTGACCCACATAGTCTTTTGTAGCCAACTCAATGTTCTTTATTTTTTTTCCTTTTTGTTGAAAATTTTGGATCTTTATAGCTTGGCATCTTATTGTCTTTCTTATGAAGATGGCTGAGTGGGTGTGTGCCCAAATAAGCCACCCTATCCTTATTTTGTGCATTTTGTCAAATGATTAGTCACCAAACCACCATTTGTATGAATGATTCTTCTTTCACTTGAAATCATTCAAAGGCAAGAAACTACTATTAAGTCACAAGATTTCAATCAGAAGCAAGTGGGGTGAGGAGTTTGTTTGTCTTCCCATCCCAGTACCTCAATGACTGACATTATCTCCATCTCCATCCCTTCCAACAATAGTTAATTATGCTTTAATTATTGGATGTCAATTAAAAACAAAAGGTTTAGTAGTTTCATAATAATCCATTTTGCTCAGACAGACCATTTTGAAATTTGAACACCTCTCAGTTTCCCACTATTTCCATGAAAAAAAATCAATGCACTCTGTTTTTCTTTGAGGTGTCATTAATGTTGGCATAAATGCAAAGCACACATAGTGGTTCAAGAGTAGATAAGCTGCTATAAATGCATGAGAGTTCCCTTCTTTTTTTGCTTTCAAACCTAAAATTTCATAAATATGTGAAAACAAGTTGGTGTCATTATTAAAAAACTATAGGAAATTCAAGCCATACTAACTAGAGGGATAACATGATAATACGTTACGATTTAGAGATAAATGAAATTCGAAATGCACTAATTTTCACGATATAAACAAATGAAACACTACTCTAAAACAAATGCTACTATGTTGCAAGAGGTTTGTAGCTCAAGTGGTCAAAAGCATTTACATATGTATTTGAGGTCCTAAGTTCGATTCCTCCTCCCCAATACCGCTATACCAAAAAAGACTACTATGTTTGTTGGGGTCTAAAATTGTAGGGTTTGTGTTTGCAGGCTTTCTCACAAATTTGGAGGATGTAAAAAAATATTCTGGTTTTCACTAGAAAACCAAACACTACAGTCCCTGCAGTACATTCTGTCACAAGCTCCAAGCATGAATTAAAGACATCCATATATTATATATACCTGATGGGGGCCGGCCAAATTGCAAGGGCGATTATAGTGTTGTGTTAAACTCACATGTGGGCAGTTGAGAATTTTTGATTTGGCCCCACTAAAAGTTAAAAACTCATAATTACTCTTATAATCAACTTTGATCAAGATTTTTAGGACATTCTAACCCTAAAAATCAACTTTGAAAGTAAAGGGTGTGTATAATTCCTGAACCAAGGAAATGAATTATGTATAATATGGGGCATGCTCCATTGGATTATCATTATTAAAGTGAGCCCCCCAAACCCCAGATTACGAAATGATCACAAATTCAATTAAAATACTCCACCATTTGCGCCAAAAAGCAATAAGACCCAGTTACAGTTGGCATGCAATGCAATATCTAGCTAATTTTCTAATGGGTGATGGCGCTCTCTTTTTTAATGTCAAAATAAAAGGGGAATTTGCCTCAAAGACAACATACCTTTTCCTGGAATTGGAGGTGAGAGAGAGAGAGAGTGGGTGAGAGAGATCAGAGACTCAGCTGGGAGTGGGATTCGTCTTCTGATGTGATTCATTCATTCAAAAGAAAGAAATAAATAAAATGATGGCATTGGTTTGGATCCCCTTTTTCGAAATTTGTTCAAGCTGAGCTCTATTTGTCCTCTCTGGGTGTATTTGGATTCCTTCTCTCCTTTCTCTTTCAGCACTCTTTCTTTCTCTTGTTGCTCAATTGTTCCTCAGAGAATATCACAACAACAGCCAAACAATTTTCATCCTTTCATTCCATCAACCATCCTTTCTTGCTGAAAGCTTCAAGTGAAGTCAACCCCATTCCCCCATTTGTCTCTTCCAGCTTCTTCCAAGTACTATTTTCTGTTCATGGATCTGGGTTTCTGATTCCCTTATCAAAACGGTTTCTTTCATTGAAGAGGTAGATAGATACAGAAATTAACTGATGGAGAAAATGGCGGCAGCAGCAGCAGCAGCTGAGAAGCCCAGCTCCAAAGGACAAGCATGGTTAGTTCCATTTTTACTGCAAACAATCTCATTCAAAACCTCACCTTTTTCATTTTCTGCTGGGTACCCAAATCAAAAGCAATGCATCAATTAACCAAAACTCTCTTCAAAATGTGTTCTTCGCAGGTTCTGCACCACTGGGTTACCAAGCGACATTGTGGTCGAAGTCGATGACATGACCTTCCATCTCCACAAGGTCATTACATCAAACACATTGAGAGCACACATTGCATTTCTCTTCATCTTTCACTGACCAATTTCAGCTAACAGTTTTCTGCTTCTGGTTGTTTCAGTTTCCTCTCATGTCAAAAAGCCAGAAGCTTCACAACCTGATCACAGAGCAAGAGACGAACCCATCGCAAACCCGCCAACAAATTGAAGAGCAGGATGAGAACGATGACGAAATCGAAGAAGTTCAGTGCCAAATAGCTCTCTCTGACTTCCCCGGCGGCTCAGAGACCTTCGAAATAGCAGCTAAGTTCTGCTATGGCGTCAAGATCGACTTGAGCCCCTCCAATGTCGCGCCTCTGCGCTGCGCTGGAGAGTATCTGGAAATGACCGAAGAGTACTCAGAAGATAACCTCATTTCCAAGACCGAGAGGTTTCTCTCTCAGTCTGTGTTGAAAAGCTTCAAGGAATCGCTCAAAGCTCTCAAGTCCTGCGAACGAGTGATGCCTCTTGCAGAGACTTTGGGTATTACGCAGAGGTGCATAGACTCCATCGCCTCCCGCGCCACGTCAGCCGATCCCACCCTGTTTGGCTGGCCGGTTAGCGAAGCACCCAATGCGAATACGAATGCGATTTCTTCCTCTTCTTCCACCAAACAGCAGATTTTGTGGAATGGGATCGACGCCGGTGGCGGCGGTGGACGAAGAAGAGGCCTTTCCAAACACACAGATTCCTGGGTTGAAGATTTGGTGGTTTTGAGTTTGCCTCTGTTCAACCGATTGATTTCCGCCATGAAATCTGGAGATCTAAGCTTGGAGATGGTGGAGACTTGTTTGATGCATTACGCTAAGAAGTACATTCCTGGAATTTCAAGAACAAATCGAAAGCCTCCATCTTCTATCTCCGCCGTCACCGCCACCACAACCTCATCGTCTTTAGCTTCGGAGAGTCAACAGCGAGAGCTTTTGGAGACGATCATCTCCAATCTTCCATTGGAGAAGAGCTCCAGACCTTCCACCGCTACTCGTTTCCTCTTTGGACTGCTGAGAACCGCCAACATACTCAATGCCTCCGAGGCCTGCAAAGCCGCGTTGGAGAAGAAGATCGCTTCGCAGCTCCACCAAGCCACCTTAGACGACCTTCTCATCCCGAGCTACTCGTACCTCAACGAGACTCTCTACGACGTCGATTGCGTCGAGAGGATCTTAGGTTACTTCTTGAACGGCTTGGATCAGAGAAACACAGCCGGAATCGAAGAAGACGACGGTTCTGACGGTGCTGTCAGATCACCGACGTTGATGCTCGTCGGAAAATTGATCGACGAGTTTCTCTCCGAGATCGCCTCCGACGCGAATCTCAAGCCGGACCGATTCTACAATCTCGCGATTTCTCTACCTGAACAAGCTCGGCTCTTCGACGACGGTCTTTACAGAGCCGTCGATCTCTATCTCAAGGTCCGTACACAATTTATACATTACAAACGATTTCATAAATTAAGCTTGAGATGATATCAATTGTGAAATCTGAATTGTATTTTCATATCTGTAGGCTCATCCATGGATACCGGAACCAGAGCGCGAGAAGATCTGCGGAATTTTAGACTGCCAGAAGCTCACGCTCGAGGCTTGCACGCACGCGGCGCAGAACGAGCGGTTGCCTCTGCGCGCGGTGGTGCAAGTTCTGTTCTTCGAGCAGCTCCAGCTCCGGCACGCCATCGCCGGAAATCTGCTCGCAACCGACGTCGCTCCCCCGGACTCGGGCAGGCCATCGGTGCTGCAACGCGAACGACAGGAGGAGGAAGAAGAGGAAGAGGACGACGCGGAGGCACGTGCGGAGGAAGATGGGGATAATGTGGCACGTGCAAATGATAGTGGGGGCGGCACGTGGAGGGTGGCTGTGAGGGAGAATCAGGTGTTGCGCTTGGATATGGATAGCATGAGGACGCGGGTGCACCAGCTGGAGCGGGAATGCTCCAACATGAAAAAGGTGATCGAGAAGATTGATAGTCCGGGTCAGCCCAGGAGGGACGGGTCAGGTTGGAAGGTCTCGTTGAGCCGGAGGTTCGGGTGTAAGTTCAAGACCCAGGTGTGTGATTCGCACGAAGCCACGGCCGTTGATACTAGGAAAGGACGGCGACACCATCATCAACAATAGAGCTGCCCGCACCGGATCATGTAGTTGGTGGCCACGTAAATAAATGAAACCGCAGATTGGGTTGGCTAATTCGGAACCGAGAAGAACACAATTGAGGGACACATGATATGTGATTATTGTTTATTGGGCGAGAAAGCAAAAGCGTTTACAAATAGTGCAAATGCAACCTTTTTTCTTCGTTCCTGCTTTTGCTTTTTAGCTTTTTTCTGGAAAGCGCTTTGGGTATGACTTTTGGAAGCTCCAGATATAATGACTGCCTGTGTCTCTCATCTGGGGTTTTGGTAAGTTGATTGATATGATGATGCAAGGAGTCAAGGAAAAAGGGTCCCAAGTGATTAAAGTCAAGCCCCAGAATATTCATGATGATTGCTTTGCTTAAAAGATTATGCGTGGGATGGTTTCAATTTATGTCAAAGAAACAAAAACATGCACACTATTTTCTTTGGAAGGATGGAAAGTTAGAATGATTGATCATATAAGCTCAAAGTCTTGGTTTTGTATCCAAGATATAAAAGTTGTAATGGGAGTTTCTATGATTGTTGGGGTTTCGACTTTAAGAAAAAGCTACAATCTTTTAACCCTAATGAAATCTTGGCAATGCAATCTCTAGAGTCTAGACCAAGTAGAGAAAGATGGTGCTTCGGATTGTACTTGGTTAGCTTTTACATATGTCACTTTGAAGAAGTTTACTAGTACCTTTGGTAATAATCACCGTTTTTGTTATCTTCTTCTTTATCTTTGAGGCAGATCGGTTGGGCTTTGCCCAAGCCTAGTAGAGTTTCTGGTAGGCTTGTTCTATTGGGCTCCTTATCAACAAGAACGTTCACCCATTGTAATCTCTCGAGCACCATCCAATCCATTTCAAAATAAGATTTCTTAAGCTTTTCAAGTTTCTGAAGTTATCTAGAATCATTTGAGCTACTGAGCTCAGTGACACCAACGTTGAGCATGCCCATTACAAAGGCCTTATTGCCAACGTTGAGCATGTCCAATCATTTGCTTCAAGGGCATGGCTCAATTCTCGTCTTCAGCTTCATGTGAGAGCAACCAGGAGAGGTACTCAGACTCCTGGCCCAACTGGTCTGGTGGAGTCACCCTTTTTCGTACGAGCATTTCTATAGTGGAGTACTTCCTCTTACGGCCACCCCTTGGCCTTGACCTGAATTTCTCATCAGCCTCTTCAAAATCCCCCTGCAATTCAAAGCAATAATGTCCCACATACGAACTCATAATGTGGCATTGCCGGGAAAGATGCTTATCCCAAAATCCAACATATGAGGGTATTGAATGATCTAAGAATAATACTCACATATGCATAGACAATGGCAATGCAAAGAATGAAAAACTATTTTTTTTCTTTCCAAAATAATGAAATATGTTTGTTCTTTGTGTGTATACAACCCATTAAAAGTCAAGTCAGTAACTCACAGTTGAACATGTGTGAAGACAACCCTAACCCTTATAACTGCATTTAATTCTCTCCACTGAAGCACCTCCAATTCCTGCGTGTGGACAGATGCCGTTTGATGTTCCTTCTCGGCTTCTTGATCCCACATATCTCACAGGTGATATGTTAACCGGTAGCAGGACTGAATATGGGCCATAAGGCATTTCTCATTAAATATTATAGCCGTGCGGCTATATTCGGATTTTCACTTTTTTTAAAAAACAATAGTATCGTCGGGCGTCTATACTAGGTTTTTTTAATTCTTTTATAAATAGTATACCCGGGTGGCTTTACTAGGCTCCTTTGTTTAAATGAACCGTATCGCCGCCCGGCTATACCCCTTTTAAATTTTTTAAAAGAAATAGAATAGCTGCACGGCTATACCTGGTCTTCCTTAATTTTTGAACAAACAGTACTATAGCCCCTTTTTAAATTTTTTTTTTAAAGAAATAGTATAGCTAGCCGGCTATATTTTTGCGAAGAAATAGTATAGCCGGCCGGCTATACGCTTTTTTAATTTTTTAAACGAAATAGTATAGCCGGCCGGCTATACAGGGTTATTTCTAAGTTTTTTTTTTTAAAGTATAGCCGGTTTTACGCGGATCTTTTATTTTATATTTTTTAATAAATAGTGTAGCCGCGCGGCTATACTTTTTTTTTGAGAAACGGTATAGCCTTGAGAAACAGTATAGCCGTCCGGCTATACTTTTTTAAAAAATGTTTATTTAGCAATTAGTATAGCCGCCCGGCTTTACGCGGCTCTTTGTTTTTCCCGATGTTTCTAATTTTTCAAAGGAAATGGTATGGCCGAATTAATCATAACAAACATAACCACACATGGCAGAACAGATTTCAAAATCGCTTCTTAAAGTCTATCAAACCTTAACAACAGAGGCTCCAGTGGCAAACTTTTTCCCCAATTTCTTTGAAGCATCACTAAGTTTGACACCTGAATTGTAATCAAAGGCAAACTGCACACCGCACAATACAGTACGCGAACCGGTTGGGGTTTTCCCGCCATCAGAGCTCAACCTCAAGCCCCTCTCTTTCTCTCTCGCTCTCTCTCTCTCTCTCTCTCTCTCTCTCTCTCTGTAATTGGGAAAGATGAAACGCAGCGTTTCGACTACGCAATCGCTGAATTTAAGACGGTGTTTGTGGTTTCTTAATGACGATGAGATGTATGTCTTTGTTGGATTACGAGTGTAGACGCCGTAGGCGCAATACGGTGCGTTTCATCAATTTGGCCCATTCACCATATAAGGCTATCATGTATCTGTTTATGTTTTCTTGGGCCGGGTATGCACAGATGCTTGAAATAAATGAGAAATATTTTTGAAATTTGCACCAAAATGTGCATGCATTCCCTAAACTTTTTCCTTCAACAACGGGCGGGAAAAGAGCTTCGAGCTTGAAACATCTTCTAATTTTACAAAGAGAAAAAACACTAGAGTAAGAATTAGTTGATATATACTTCATAAGGTTTAAACTACGACTGATATAGGTTGTGTTTATACATTTCCAAAATTGATGTATTTTCAAATAAAGATTGCAAAACACAGTTATGGAAAAGCACAACCCAAATAAAATAAAAGGGAGTAATGCTTGATAAGCAAATTCTAATTTAATTTACAGGCAGAATCACAACAAATTTAGGTTAACCAACGGCATGCAGGCAAATATGCAGACAATAGTAACATATTAAAATCACCATATAGCAGTTTGTCAACCAATGCCTAATTGTGCACATGAAAACAATGGAAAGTAGAGTAAATTAGCTTAATAAGCAAGGTAAAATCCTATATAACCCTTTAGTAATTCGGTTGGAATTTAGTGAAGGGACTTATAGCTCAAGATTTATGAGCATTTATTCCAATATTTGAGGTCCTAGGTTCGATTTCCCTCTCCCTGTAAAAATCTAGTTGGGATTTGAGTTGTCATAGCTGATCACTCAACTTTGTCACACAACTGTTAGATGCATGAACGAAACGGGAGAGATTAATTGCAGCAGAGTCAAATTCAAAAACAAAGAAACTGAAGGGCTTTTCCTAATGATGACAAATTGACAATTGGCTTTGAAACCCTGACTAAAGCCATGCATTTGCTGCCTTAAACCAAAAATAAAAAATAATATTTGGGTTTTGTACAAAATCCAAATAAATTAGATGCCAAAATATATTTCACAAAATCTGATGCTATCCAACTCATTAACCAAAAGCTTGAGCCAACTTTATATCCCTCTTTAACTCTCAATTAAATCCCAATTTCTTTGCTTTTCCTCACCCTCAATTGCTTCTGTTTGGTCCATTTTCAGTGAGAACAAGCAATCATGGAAAATAGGGATCAGGTTGCAGCTCAAAACCATGCTTGTGCTTCCTGCAAGCATCAGAGGAGAAAATGTGATGAGACCTGTGAAATGGCCCCATACTTTCCAGCCAGCAGGTACAGTGAGTTCCAAAATGCTCAAAAGATCTTTGGTGTGAGCAACATCCAAAAGATCATGGCCATGGCTGCACCTGATCAAAGACAGGCAGCTGCTGAAAGCATTCTCACAGAAGGGAATGCAAGGAAAATTGATCCTGTGCATGGTTGTCTTGGCATTATCAGAGGTCTCAATGCCCAAATTCAGGGACTTGAAACAGAACTCCATATTATGAAACAGCACCTAGAACTTTGCAAGGAGAAGGAAGAACTTGATGGGAAAAAAAACCAAGCAAAAGAAGAAGACTTGCAGCACGATCAATCTGATGGTCTCAATTTCCCATCACCAATCCTCCCTGATCTGGTAAGATCTTAATTTTCTCTACTTTTCCTCCTTTTTTTTTTTTTTTTTTTTTTTTTTTTTTATTTAACCAAACTTCATACATATACACATAAATAACTGATATGTGAATATTTATTCTGTGTAATGCAGCCCTCTCATGTCATGGCTGAGATGAGAAAATATGAACAAGGATACAATTACTCGTCAACTTTGGAAGATGCAGAAGAGGAGGTCTTTGACATCCAGCTCATAGAACCAGTATTATTTGAATCCAATCTGAAGGGGAATGCAAGTTCTAGTGGATCAGGAAAATCCAGGTTGTGCAAAACTTTATACTTTTGTTTGATAATGTTTATTTGTTGTTTATTTATTTATATAGAGATGGAAAAGAGAAAGAGGAAGGGGAGATAGCTAGGTGGGAGGAGAGATAGAATTGTCGATAAGGAGCGCGCGATGAGATAGATTTTTTAAAAATAAAAATAAATAAGAAGCGTTATTTATAATCCCTCATTGCTTCCGCGCTAGCGCGGGGCATTAATAGGGTTATATATTACTTAATTGTCATTTGTACTCCCACTCATGACACACATGTCACGTGCAAATAGCTTCGTCTTTTAAAAGTAAAAGCTTAAAAGGAATTTTGGAATCCATTTTTGTCATTTCATAATGTGCTCCTTCGTAAATCACATTTCTTATCATATAATTGATTCTCACAATAATTGCAGAATATTGATAATCTTTCTCTAATAAAAGTGATTAATGTTTTGCGTCATTAGTAATAAGTTTTGAATTAATCATATTTTTTATTCTATGAAATTGTAGTGCTGCTGCCTCCAAGGCCAAAGAGAAGCAACCTTCAGAGAGTTTGCAAGAGAAAACTACAGAAGATGAGGCTTGACCATCCAGAACAGACATGGAAATGGTTGCACATCAAGAATGAATTTTACTTTGTGATCAAATTTAGTTAATTGACTTGAAAGATCATTAGACTTTATGGAAACCTGTTTTCTGCGTATTGTCAGACTTTAATTGCGGTTTGAGATTATCAGTTTTTTCAGTACTTCGTTTTTGCTTCCAGTTCCTCCAACAGCAGAAATCAAAGACGAGAGAGGAGCAATGGATGCATCTAGTGTTTTTGAATATACTTGCATGTAGTATCTTAAGAGAAGGAAGATAAATTTGTACAGGAAAACAGATGCATAAACACTTCAATCAGCAGAAAAGTAGCCAATCTTGTTTAAAATGACGAATGCGGAGCTGTTAGGTCTTTAGCAACGGTCGAAACAGCCGCTAAACGTTGAAAATAACATTTATTTTCAATAGCATATAGCCGAGCGGCTTTAAGATTAAAATATTCTATTTAAAAAGTATAGCCGAGCGGCTATATCATCATTTAAAAAGAAATAATATAGCCGCACGGCGACACTCGGATTTCCCCCATTTTTTTAAGAAACTAATTTTTTTAAAATAGTATAGCCGAACGGCTTTACTCGGCTCTTTTTTCATAAACAAAATAGTATAGCCGGCCGGCTATACTCGGTTTTAAAATTTTTTAAACAAGTATAGCCGCGCGTCTATACGCGGTTTTTTAATGACATAGTATGGCTGCGCAGCGATACTCGGTTTTCAGATTTTTTTATAAAAGAAATAGTATAGCAGCGTGGGTTTTGAAAAATAGTATAGCCGCGCTGCTATACGCTTTTTTCAATTTTTAAAAAAACAATAGTATAGCAGCACGGCGATACTATTTATTGAAAAATCACAATCTTGCATTTTTCTTCCAACAAGTAAGAAATAATATTAGCCTCTCAAATTGTTTCATAGTTCGTAAAATACGGAATGGAAAAATATAAATAAAATATGTACGTGTTTTATTCAACAAAATTTTGGCAAGTTTGGTCCATCACGTAAACTTAAAAGTTGCTAAATATCGTAATAACAAGACAAAAGATTTAATCAAGGGAACGGTAAATCTGGAAGAAAACCAAGAATAAAGCAATTGATGAATTGATAGAACAAAATTGGTGCATTC